CTTAGATCATATATATATATATATATATATATAGAGAGAGAGAGAGATAAATTTACTCATACTTACCGTAATTTTCTTTTCCTGGTCATAGGCCATGGCAGCACAACAATGGGTAGCTCCTCCCCTATCCCTAGTTAGACAGGAACCAATTAAAATAAGGGTACAAATACCCCCTCCTACCTCCTCCTCCCTCAGTCTAGTTAACAGCAATATCCCTGGGTGGGACCTTTGTGCTGCCATGGCCTATGACCAGGAAAAGAAAATTACGGTAAGTATGAGTAAATTTATCTCTTTCCTGGCCATATCCATGGCAGCACAACAATGGGTAATACCCAAGCTAAAACCAAGGGAGGGAAAGAAAAACTCACATTATTAAATAATGCAAGTGTATTGTCACAAACAACTCAATGTGATAAACAAAAAGAATAGTAGTTAGTCCTATGAGGCAGAAAGAACTGATCTGCCAAATCCATCGTATTGGCCAGCTCTTACATCTAAACGATAATGTCTAATAAATGTATTAGAAGATGACCAAGTGGCTGCTTTGCAAATCAGTTCTGTAGAAACCTTTGCTGCAGCTGCCCAGGATGAAGAAAGGGAACGTGTAGAGTGAGCCTTCAAACCTTCAGGAACACTAGTTTTAGATGACCTATAAGATTGGATAATGGCCGAAACTATCCATCTGCTGATAGTGGCTTTCGAAGCTTGCAGACCCTTCCTAGGGCCATTAGGAATAACAAAGAGCCTTTCCGAAATGCGCCATTCTGAGGATCTCTGTATATATATCTTAAGGCATCTTACTAGGTCGATAGCATCATCATCAGCGTTTTCCCTGTTATTAGATTCTTCTGTACTTAATGCTGGAAGGATTATCTCTTCATTCATATGGAACTCTGAAGTCACCTTTGGGCGGAATTCTGGAACCGTTCTCAGGATGACTCTGTCCTTATGAAATATCGTAAAAGGTTCTCGAGCTGAAAGAGCCTGGAGATCAGAAACCCTTCTACCAGAGGCTAGGGCTACTAGTAGAACTGTCTTGATCGTGAGAAGATGACAGGAAATTGATGTCATAGGTTCAAAAGGATCTGCTTTAAGAGCCTTCAGGACCAGAGGGAGATCCCATGGCGGAGTAATAGACTTAATGGGTGGCTTGATCTTGAGGACTGCAGTCAGAAATCTAGCTATGTCCGGATCCAGTGCCCATCTATGATTAGTTAAAGCAGAGAGGGCAGAAACATGCACTTTTAGAGTGTTATAACTCAATCCCTTCTCTAGACCTGATTGTAAAAAATCAAGAATGTCAGTAGTCGAAGGGTTCAACATATCAAAGGGCCTTGAACTGGCCCATGAAGAAAATACATCCCATATTCTGTAGTAAGTGGATGAAGTAGACTTCTTCCTTGCTTGAAGAAGTGTCTCGATAACTGATCTCGAAAATCCCTTGTTCTTTAACCCATCCCTTTCAAGTACCATGCCATCAGACGAAGGGATGCTGGGTTTGGATGGTGAATTGGACCCTGATGTAACAGGAATGGGACCACTGGAAGGCGCCATGGATCCTTCTTGCACAGACTTAGTAGGAGCGGAAACCAAGGTCTGCGAGGCCAAAAAGGGGCTATTAGAATCAGTGATGTCTTCTCTTGTCGTAGTCTCCTTAGCAGAGGGAAGATGAGGGGTTTCGGAGGAAAGGCATAAGCCAGGTCGAAGTTCCAACTGCATGTCAATGCGTCTCTTCCTATGGCCTGGGGATCTGGAATTCTCGAAAAGAAGTTCTTGACTTTTCTGTTGTTGCTTGTAGCCATTAGATCTATCTGGGGAAGGCCCCATTTTTCTACGATCTGTAGAAATATTATGTCTGATAGACTCCATTCTCCCGGGTCTAATTTCACCCTGCTGAGAAAGTCTGCCACAGAGTTCTGAGTTCCTGGGAGATGTATTGCAGAGATATTCTCCAAGTTCATTTGAGCCCAGGCCATCAAAGGTTTCATAAGTTTCATCATTCTGCAACTTCTTGTCCCTCCTTGGTGATTTATATATGCCACAACTGTGGCATTGTCTGTCCTGATCTTGACCCATTTGTGAAGTAAAAGTTGCTGGAAGTGCATTAGAGCCTTGAAAACTGCCAGAAGTTCTAGAAGATTCGAAGGGGTGTCGGAGGTTGAAAATGCCCATTTCCCCTGAACATAGTTGTCTTGAAGGTGGGCTCCCCAGCCCCATTGACTGGCATCTGTGGTGATGATGATCCATGGAATGTTTCCTAAGGGATAACCTCTGAAGAGAGACTCTTTGTGGGTCCACCACTTCAGGGATTCTTGTACGTGAGGAGGGATCATTATAGGTTGAGACAGATTGCCCTTGAATTGAGAAAGGAAATTCCTTTGGAAAGGCCTCATTCTCCATTGAGCCCATCTTGTAAGTCCTATAGTGGAGGACATTGATCCCAGGAGGCTCATGATTGTCTCTGCTGAGGAAACACTGGATGCTAACATGTCTTTGACCTTTTCCCGAATTTTCATACCCCTTTCTGGGGATAGTTGGACGGACCCTTCTGCAGTGTTGAATGCTGCTCCTAGATATATCATGTTCTGGGATGGTTTTAAGTTGCTTTTGGCGAAATTGATCTTCCATCCGTGTTGTTGAAGATACTGTATACATATCAGGCCGTGATCTTCTAATATTTCTCTGTTTTCTGCCAGAATCAGGATGTCGTCGAGGTAATGATATACTGCAATGCCTTTCTTCCTGAGTTCTGCGATGAGAACCACCAGAACTTTTGAGAAAGTACGTGGAGCAGTGCTTAGCCCAAAGGGGAGAGCACGGAACTGAAAATGCCCCTCTTCCACAGCGAATCTGAGGAATCTTTGATGCTGGGGTGCTATGGGAATATGGAAATACGCATCTGCCAGGTCTATTGACATGAGCCATTGATTTGGAAAAACTGCTTTTACGATGGATTGAAGAGACTCCATCTTGAATTTCCTTATGTTTAGGAACTTGTTTAGTCTGCTTAGGTCTAATATAGGTCTCCATCCCCCTGTGGATTTTCTGGTGAGAAAGATATGGGAGTAAAACCCGTATGTTTGCTGAGCTCTTGGAACTTGAACGATAACTCCATCGTCTTGAAGGGATGAGATAAACTTTTTTAGGGAATCTCTTTTTTCTACATCTCTTGGCCAGATAGTCTTCTGGAAGGAGCGAGGTGGCGGCCTTGTGGAGAATTCTATAAGATATCCTCTTTGTATGATATCCAGCACCCATCTGTCTTGAGTTGAATTTTTCCACATATTCTGGAAAAGTAGTAGACGGGCACCTACTCCTCCAGAATGGTAAGTGGGTTTGTCATAAAGGCTTCTTGTGAAATGAGGAACCTCTAGACTTTCCTCCTCTGTTGGATGAATGTCCACCTCTCCATGGAATAGACCTTCCATATTCTCTTCCCGGTTTATAAGATCTGGTATCGCGAAAGGAGGGGTACTCAGAGTATCTTCTGGCTCGAAAGGATCCACGGGTTTTCCGGTCTTGTGGAAGAAAGGCTTTTTTACCTTCTGCAGCTCTTTTGATGCACTCGTCTAGGTTTTTACCAAACAACATCTCACCATAAAAAGGAAGGGCGCATAGACTAGACTTTGATGATGAATCTGCGGACCAGGATCTCAACCATAAAGCTCTTCTAGCTGAAATTGAAAGAGCCATGTTCCTTGCTAAGGCTTTCACCATGTCTACCGAAGATTCTGACGTAAAGTCAACGGCCAGTTTAATATCATTTAATCTTTCCAGAAGAGAAGATCTGTTTCTCCCATCTCTGATATCCTCTTCCAAGTTTTCGATCCAGATTTTCAAGGCCCTGGATACTGAAGTAAGAGCTATAGCAGGGTGAAAACCAGTCCCTGCTGCAACATAAGCCTTTGAGAGATGCAGATCCATCTTCTTGTCCATTGGGTGTCTAAATGAGCCTGCATCATCTACTGGCAATGTGGTATGTTTTGCAAGTCGAACTACTGCCGCATCCACCTTAGGGGCATTATCCCAATGGTATGAATCAGACTTGTCAAAAGGATAGAGGCGAGAAATTCTGCCTTGTGCTGAAAGCTTCTTATCTGTATTAGACCATTCGTCTTTAATTAATTCCTTAATAGTATCATGCACTGGAAAGGTTGCTCTTTTCTTTCTCAAGTCTGAGAAATAACGATAAGAGGTTGACTGTTCTGCAACTGCCTCTCTTAAGCTCAAAGATTTACAGACTTTGTAAATGAGGTGGTCTATCTGAGCAGGTTCTAGAAAATCTGCAGGGGCCTGAGTTTCTTCTTCGTCTGAAGATAAGAAATTCCCCTGGTATGATTCCATATCCATGGATTCATCTGACGAATCATGATGTTGGTAATCCGAAGGTTCATGTAACCGGGGTCTTTTGTGACTTGCCCCTGCTTCTTTGATACCTTGAGCCACCGCTTGTTTTATGAATTGTACAAATTCCATTGAAGGATTAGATGTTCCAGCTGCTTCAGATAAACATTCTGCACATAACCGTTTGCCCTCCAGCGGTTTTTTATTACAGGCTTCGCATTGATTTTTCTTTGGAGATTTTCCTTTGGATGATCTCACGGTTTTCTTTCCCGTAGAACTATCATGATAGGGAAATATCTCATATTAGCACTCTTTTACTTTATGTATCCAGAAGAAAAATTAATGATATGATATGGCTTACCTATAACTCCTAGAGTGTGACCTATTTTTATATCCAGAAGAGTCCGAACCAGAAGACATTGATCTCCTTTTGTCTTTCTCCATTGTGGAGATGATTACGAAATAGTCTAGAAAAGTAATTTAATTAGTATAGAAAGAAAAGAAAATGAGAATGGAAAAAAAATAATAATTATGTGTATATACCTTTAAGAAGTAAAACTTACCTTCAAATATTTCTTGCAAAGGAAATGCTATTCAAAGTAGAAAATGTATGAAAACAGGACTTCTAGAGTCCTAATAAGAACCTCAGGTACACTCTATATACGCTTTTGGCGCTTAAATAGGCGTGTGACGTCATATCTGACGTCACCGCCTATCCGCGCATGCTCAGAACGATTGAATTCACCGCTCGCCAACTGCGCATGCGCGGCACCAACCCGGAAGCAACCTCCTAGCAGGAGGCACCCTTGCTGCAGCCGGAACCCAGGCGCGCGCAAGGACATAGCGTGCACGCGAAACTGGCGTGCACGCGAAGCTAGTGTGCCCGTGAACGAGCGGGCACGCGCGAAAACGGCGCACATGCGCCCCAGGAGTTACAGGACGCCGGGAAGGCTAGTGCAAAAAGTTAAAGAAGAAAGGTACAAAGCAATCATAGGTAGGGGGGGGAACCCCACACATATGTAATTAACAGAATATATGCAGAAAGTATTTGTTTGGATGATCTCACTGTTTTCATACATACATACATGTGGGGTTTTGTACTTCAATGTAGAAATCCATCCAGAATAGGGTCTTCTCGCCACTTCCTGCTACCTCTTGGTCACTGCAGGGAATCAGAATTATTTTGGCATTTATTTTCTCTTGCTACCCCTAGGGTCACTGCAAGTAGGACCCCCGGTCACTAAGGGGGTATCTTCAGGGGGACACCTTTGCACAGGGCCGGATACTGAAGCTTCCCAAGGAAGAGAGGCTGAACTTCCTTGGGGGTAGAAGGTAAAAACCCTCAGGTAAGCCATAAAAGAAAAGTGATTATAGTCCTAAAATAGACTAATTTGGTCCTACAGGGATAGGACAGGAACAAAAAGACTGAGGGAGGAGGAGGTAGGAGGGGGTATTTGTACCCTTATTTTAATTGGTTCCTGTCTAACTAGGGATAGGGGAGGAGCTACCCATTGTTGTGCTGCCATGGATATGGCCAGGAAATATATATATATATATATATATATATATATATATATATACACACACACACTTACTATACACATATAATGATATTAATTAAATATATATTTTTTTATATATATCAAAAAATATAAATGTTGAAAAATAAAAATATTATTAAAAAGTGTGTGTAATTTCATTCTAACTGTATTTTGATATTAATATATATATTGATATCAAAATACACTTAAAACGAAATAATATGTATATCTATATACATAAATGTATATGTATATATCACTATATATATATATATATATATATATATATATATATACACACACATATATGACACCTTCATGTCACAACTTGTACAAGCACCAACTAGAATGGATGCTTGTCTGGGCCTGGTTTTAACAAACAACGTTGATCTTTTGACCAACATTCAAGTAGGTGAGCACTTGGGAAATAGTGATCACAATATAGTGTCCTTTGAAATAAACTCAAAAAAACAAAAGCACATGGGGAATACTAAAACATATAATTTTAAAAAGGCCAATTTCAATAAGTTAAGGGAAGCTTTACAATATATTGACTGGCATAAACTCTTTAGTGAAAAGAACACTTAGGATAAATGGATCATCTTCCAACAAATATTACAAAGGTACATTTCTCAGTATGTACCATTGGGAAATAAATATAAAAGAAACAAATTAAAACCAACATGGCTTAGTAGAGAAATAAAACAAGAGATTACAACTAAGAGAAGGGCATTTAAAGCATTTAAATCGGACAAATCAGATGCATCTTATAAAAGATATAAGGATGCAAATAATGCGTGCAAAAAGGCAATTAGACTTGCTAAACTTCAAAATGAAATAATGATAGCTGAAGAGAGCAAAACCAACCCCAAAGCATTTTTTAAGTACATAAATTCTAAAAAAAAACAAAATGAAAGTGTAGGTACACTAAAAACTGAAACGGGGGTGTTAATTAATGAAGACCAGGAAAAGGCAGGAATTTTAAATAACTATTTCTCCTCCGTATATATTAAGGAAGAACCCATGGCAATAGATGTGCAAATGATTGCTACTAAAAACTTGCAGAATAATTGTAATTGGTTAACTCAAGACAAGGTGCTGCAGCAACTAAAGAAAGTTAATATAAACAAAGCTCCAGGGCCTGACGGTATCCATCCACGTGTACTTAAGGAACTAAGTGTAGAAATAAGTGAACCTCTGTTTTTAATCTTTCAAGATTCTTTTCTTTCAGGAAGTGTTCCGGAGGATTGGAGGAAGGCAGATGTGGTTCCTATATTCAAAAAGGGTTCAAAATCCTTGCCTGGAAATTATAGTCCTGTGAGCTTAACTTCTGTGGCTGGTAAAATATTTGAAAGGTTATTAAGGGATAATATTCAAGAATTCCTTGAGAAGAACATGGTTATCAGCAAAAATCAGCATGGTTTTATGAAGCACAGGTCATGTCAAACTAACTTGATTGCGTTCTACGAAGAAGTAAGTAGAAGTATAGATCAGGGTGTTGCTGTGGATGTGATCTTTTTGGATTTTGCCAAGGCATTTGATACAGTTCCACACAATAGATTAGTGTTCAAACTCAAGGAAATCGGTATAGATGAAAATGCTTGTTCTTGGGTAGAACATTGGCTTAAAAACAGAGTACAAAGAGTTGTCATTAACGGTAAATTTTCAAGCTGGACAGAGGTGGCAAGTGGTGTCCCTCAGGGGTCTGTTCTGGGACCCCTTCTATTTAACATGTTTATAAATGATCTTGAAGACCGCATTGAAAGTCATGTTTCAGTGTTTGTAGATGACACCAAACTTTGTAAAACAATACAATGTGAGCAAGATATTACTTTGCTGCAGAGGGATTTAGATAGACTGGGGGACTGGGCACTCAAATGGCAGATGAAATTTAATGTTGAAAAATGCAAAGTTATGCACTTCGGCGTAAAGAATACACAAGCAACGTATACCCTTAATGGAAGCGAATTAGGGATAACAACACATGAAAAGGACTTGGGAATTGTTATAGACAACAAACTATGCAACAATGTGCAATGTCAATCAGCAGTGGCCAAGGCCAGTAAGGTATTGTCATGCATGAAAAAGGGCATTCATTCTCGGGATGAGAATATCATTTTGCCTCTTTATAAATCACTGGTAAGACCACATATTGAATATGCTGTGCAATTTTGGGCACCTGTTCTAAAGAAGGATATTATGGCACTAGAAAAAGTGCAGAGGTGGGCTACAAAATTAATAAAAGGAATGGAACATATCGGCTATGAAGAAAGGTTAACAAATTTAAACCTATTTAGTTTAGAAAAACGTCGCCTGAGAGGGGATATGATAACATTATACAAATATATTCGGGCCAATACAAACCATTGTGTGGAAATCTATTCACAAACCGGACTTTACATAGGACACGAGGCCATGCGTTTAGACTGGAAGAAAGAAGATTTCGTCTAAGGCAAAGGAAAGGTTTTTTTACTGTAAGAACAATCAGGATGTGGAATTCTCTGCCTGAGGAAGTGGTTTTATCAGAGTCCATACAGATGTTCAAACGGCTACTAGATGCATACTTGCAAGAACAGAATATTCAAGGATATAATCTTTCAATGTAGGGTAATAACTGCTTGATCCAAGGATAAATCTGACTGCCATTCTGGGGTCAAGAAGGAATTTTTTTCCTAGCTTGTTGCAAAATTGTGCTTCAAACTGGGTTTTTTTGCCTTCTTTTGGATCAACAGCAAAAAACAAATGTGAGGAAGGCTGAACTTGATGGACGCAAGTCTCTTTTCAGCTATGCAACTATGTAACTATGTAACTATGTAACTATATAAATAAAAATAATTTTAAAATATTATATATATTTTAATTCTACATATATATTTATGTAATATTTTTACATAATTAAGTAATTTTATTAATTACAATTTGCAGGACCTGCCTGATAACCCAGGCAGAAAGTCCAGAGAATTTAATTTGCTAGCACTATATTTAACCCTGTAACTTTCCAATACACCATAAAACCTGTACATGGGGGTTACTGTTTTACTCGGGAGACTTCACTAAATACAAATATTAGTGTTTCAAAACAGTAAAATGTATTACAACGATGAGATCATCGGTGAAAGTGATGTTTTTTTGCATTTTTCACATGACAAACGACATATTAATGATATAATTCTTGTGATACGTTTTAGGGTTTTGAAACACTATTATTTGTGTTCAGCAAAGCCTCCTGAGTATAACAGTACAGGTTTTATGGTGTTTTCAAAAGTTAGAGTTTCAGTTTTTTCACAATATTTGTTTGTGTGTGAAAAATGCAAAAAACTAACTTGAATGCCATATTTCTATGAAAATATACGTTGTTTCTAGGAGTTCAGCTAGCAGCATTTATAATTAGAAACTGGTACCTGAATTACAAGTTTCAGAAACTCATTCTCTGTTCAGAACTGATGCTTTACACAGAGAGCTTTGAAATCTGCTATGCAACCCCTACTTTATTCAGTGTGCAGACACACCGGGATTTTGAAACGGACAGATTTACCGGTGTATTATCAGTTAAAGCATAGTCAAGATTTAAAGGTTGATGCCAAAAATAGGTGAACTGAAAGTATAAGTGGCTTGCATTTTTCCACTTTAACTATCGTGGTCTAAAATTATAGTCTTCCTTTATGTTTTATGTAACTATATTGTGTCATTTGTGCCAACTTGATATTTTCTATTACAAGTATTCAGTATACAAGTCAAATTATGGTTTACTGAAAGAATATATAGGATCGTTAGTAGATGTTACCTATCCTTTAATTTCCAGCGGACGATTGGATGTATATATAAACAGGCTGTGGCGTGCCTGGCATAGAATTGAGTTTCCCGCAGAAAGATGAAACATGTCTGCTCCTAAGCAACAGGGTAGCAAATTGGAGAGGCGCCTACACAGTGAACGATCATTGGAGCACTTGTGATAATAGTGTCCTGACATGCTGTGGGAGAACAGACCGTTAATAGTGGTAATTTGAATGCAGAGATTTTGATTTTTTAATATAAGCATATTTTATATCATCAAAAGCACAATGTCAGTTTTCACACAGCTATGTATGATTTTACGCTACATATTTTATTACAAGACTATTTAAGGAATTTTACAAATTATTGTTGTGAATGACTACTTAATAAAACTATATACAGTGATCATTGGAAAAAAAAATCTGTAATTCACAACTCACCTCTGTTTGTTAAAAGGCTGAGGAAGTTATCCAGAGTATTTCCAGCCACGCTACTCGAGGTTGTGGGACTTTAGTTAGATCTTCACCTTGGTTCCCCTGGATTGCCTCAGTCCGTGAACGTAACAAAACCCTTTTTGAAGGCAAGAAACTGGGAAAAGATATCTG